CTCCAGCATATTTTGACTCAATATTCAACCTCTATTACAAAATTGCTGTGTGATCTAGTACCTTAAATGGAGAAAAAGTATGAAATAAATTGCTTCTTCCTCACCTCTAAAAGAAGAAATATTATGTTTAATTTTCATTTAAAAAAAAAAACATTTTGCCTCTTTATTTTCTGTAGACCTCCTTTGTGGTCATGCTTAATTATCTCCTGAGAAAGCTTATTCTACAAATAAGAACCTAGGATAAGAAGTATTAATTAAAAGCAATGAGTAATCATAAATATATTTGTATGTTCAGTACTATGTCTAAATATATCTTTCTTAAAATAGCATTGAACATATAAAAAGATGGAAAGTAATATTAGTTAACTGTTAGGAAAATATGAAACATGCAAATCTCCATAGTCTTAAATAATATAAAACTTTATTAAGATTCCACTAAAATATTACGTGTAAGTTTATTAAACAAATATACAGGCATTGTTAAGGCCAATCAGTAATCAGCTTTTCTCAGAATAAATAATACAATAGCAATTCTGCCTAAGTCAAATGTAATGTAAGAAAAGGAAACATTTTACACAGTATGTTCAAGTTTAAAGTCCTTCAAAAAATGTTTATAGTCTCATTTAGGGAAGTAAAGAACAGGTAGAATATTTATGAATTTATAGATGGAAAACAAGCACAAAAAGAGTAGTGACATTTTCCAAGATCATAAGGTTATGAAGCAAAGGATTAAAAACGGGAACAGAGGCCAGGCACAGTGACTCACACCTGTAATCCTAGCACTTTGGGGAGACCGAGGTGGGAGGATTGCTTGAGACCAGAAGTTCAAGACCAGCTTGAGCAAGAGCAGGATCCACAAAAAATTGAAAAATTAGCCAGGCATGGTGGCATGTGTCTGTAACCCTAGCTACTTGAAAGACTGAGGCAGGAAGATCACTTAAGCCCAGGAGTTTGAGGTTGTAGTGAGCTATGGCAAGGCCACTGCACTCAGGCCTGGGACAACAGAGTGAAACCCTGCCTCAAAAAAAAGGAACAGAATATTATTAAGCTGACACTCAGTGCTATACAATTTTTCTAGAGACTTTTCTTTACACAAGTATTTCCCAATTCAGCTAAGACTGAATTCTGGAGGGTAAATTAAGTTGAAGTTAACCATTTAGAAAAGCTAAGATACTGAACTGATTGAAGACCAAAATGAATAACTTTTCATTGTTTGTTTGGTTTATATATACTAAGTAAAGCAAATGAGAATTTTAAAAGCAGAGTAACAGTCTGTCAGAAGAGAAGCAGTTAATTTTACTTTTATCAGGGTTGTAGTTACTCCACCTAATTTCCCAGCCAATTTTACAATTATTTTTATTTATAAATAAGAAATTGACTCTAGAGCATAATTTCAGTATCAGTCAGCATTTAATCATCCGGCAAGTTAAGTTTGGGGCCATAGAGATAACTATGTAATGTATTCTATGGAGGGTGAAGACCGGCTACATGAAAACATATTTTATTAAAAATGTGGTATCTGTAAGAAGATCTTGACAAACTTTCAAGAACACAAACAATAGAAAATAAGGAATATGAATAGTTAAAAACCTTTGTTCTGCTCGAAATCTTTTGTGGGAATCGCTAAAAATTCTGGGTTTCTACCTTTCTTCCTGCCTCTGCTCAGTCTATGGTAAAGCAAGAAGAGGTCTAAAAATGGGTAAAGGCAGAAAAGGGAAGCAAAAGAGATAGAAGAGTCACCATTAAAGAAGGAAAGAAACAGGTCCCCTGGCATCATTACCATTAGAAACAGTACTGTGAACCTGTATCTGACTCAAGCTCCTTGATTTTACAAGCAATACCTATCCCTATGCATCTCCAACACCTATACTACATAAGTATTGTTTTATCCTCACCAGTAGGTGTTACATTTATTTTACACCAAGGCTTCTGTCTTCTTTGTTAAACCTTCATGGTGACTAGAACCAACTTAGATGCTTCTGATACTAAACTTAGTCGTGGCTTTAGGAAACAGACAAATGGAGAGCAAGCACTCTAAGCAAGTACAAAGTCTACAAAGCAATTCAATAACTGAACCAAGCCAAGACCACAGATTGCCTAATTCTTAGTCCAAGGTTGGCTTGCTGGACCTAGATGCCTAAATGAAAATAAGGCTTATGCAGATACTCTCCCACCTAGAACTTTTGCAGAGGAGTCAAGTAAGGAACAAGCACAAAACCATAATAATATGTACTTATTTGGTCTTATGTCAAAAAGGACAATAAGAAGGCGGTCGTATTTTTAAGAGCAGGAAAAAAGAATACAGAAGAGGTGGATCTGCAGTTCTTGATAAACACTATACCCAGAGTCCAAGGTCAGTGACCACACAGGCAATGATGGAATACATAATGACCATTCTGGACAGCGAATGAAAATAGGAATGATGAGTGTGAGATGCCATTCTAACTAGGTTCAGGTGTAAGTACTAGCATCTGAGTAAGTTTCAGCCCACTGTCAGACTACATATTTAAGCGCCAAAAAGGGAGTTCTGAGAACCAAGTGACAGAAGAGTTGGATAAGAAAAAGAAAGCTTATAAAACAAACAAACAAAAAGACTTCAAACACTACATTTTATTTTGATTTATTTTACTCAGATGCCGAGAGATTGGGTAAGCACCTAACATGTGTATTTATTTAGGGAATCTTGGGCTATTAAGACTGATCGACAAATGTCTTATTTATGAGTCTCACCTAATGCCTGATCCCCAAGGCTAGTGTGATCTTTATCTAGCAAAACAAGAGTGGCCACTGTCCTCTCTCCCCACACAAAACCAATGAAATTGGGAAAACAATAAGGACTACCCCAATAGCTAAAGCTGGAAGTGTCCCCCTTATAATGACATTCAGCAACTATGGGCTAACCATTCACCTTTAAACATGTTAAGTAACCCATGCTCAGTGAATGATGTTGACAAAGAGTGGATGCATGGTGTGATGAAGTCTATGGAAGTCCAGGTATCCAGAGCCATCTGGAAAGAGCCAGGGAAGAGTACTAGGTATTACTGTTAGAGCACAAGATCAATGCTCATCAAAAAAAAGCTACTGACAACTTCATCTCCTCTCCATGCAAACACCACAAAAAGGCTTTAAAATCGTTGGCCTTCCTGCAATTCTAAAATATTTTAAAGAAACTATAGTGAAACGCAGCTGCATCTATTTCTATTTGCAACAGAGCACTTTCGATATTCAAATCTAAGTAAACAGACAGCTAAGAGATTTAATACTTTGCCTTACTAAGATTCTGCCAAATCAGAAAGTAAATACTCTTGCAAGCAAATGTTTAACTGAACACTAAACCAAATAAAGTACTGTTGAGAATTTTTAAGTGGTTAATTGAAAAAGACCGAACAAAGCACACAGTTTTATTTAATTTTTCAAAGATAATGGACCCCTTCGAAATTGAACCTGTCTTGCTCTGAGAATCAGTAAATCAATTAGGAACTCATCAGATCAGCTTTATGTCCCCTACCTACTCCTACAATTTCAATACCCCAGTACAATCAATGATGGAGTCAGCCTTTTACAACCAAAACATCTATTTGCATGAGCTGCAGGAAATAACGGTTAATACAACCCATACTAAGCACTAGAAACAATTTTTTAGCTGGAAAAAATTTAATGGAGCTATGGTTGAGCTGCTGTTCAAAGCTTAGACTTATGTAAGAATTAAAACATTGGGATCACTCTACATATGTAACACATACATCCCCAAATCTTCCTTTTAAACTTAATATGCAACTGCAATATGAATACAAATGCAATTTTTAAAAAACTCTTTAGTAACAAGAATAAAATCCTGTAGCCTATAGAAATTGTAACATTTTAACAATATGCTTAAAACTGGCCATTGAAAGAATTCAGAAGTACACGTTTTCTTATTTAGCAAATTGTTGTTGTTTTGGTTTAAGTTTCAGGTTAGGGAAAGCTCACATGTAACATTTTAAGGAGTGCTCAATATTTCTGCTCCGGGCAAAACTACTGAACTTCAGTCATTATCACACTGTTAGCTACGTCTGTGGAAAACCTATTTGGAGGGCAAGTTAACAGGTTTCTGTGGCTCAAGTTTTCTTAAAATACAGAATAAAAAAGTCACCTTGGCATGAATGTAATTAAGAAATCAGCTGTGCGCTTCTCGTTTTTGAGCTCCCTGAGACTTGCGACATGCCTGCCAACGTAAAGACCTTTCCGAGCAAAGTGACCCGGGACAGAACTTCCCCGGCCGCAGCCCTCGCACACCTGGCCTGGCGCTGGCCGCGGGCGCCGGGGGCCGCGCGTGGAAGCCGCCCGAGGAGCTGTCAGCGGCCGCGGAGCCTCGGCAGCCCCGGCGGCCCCGCGCGCCCACAGCCCGGGCGGCCGTGGGAGGCGGCGGCGGCCGCGGGGCTTGCGGGCCAGGGTCCCAAGGCACCCCCGCCGCCCTCGGTTCCCGGCCGGCCCCTCGGGGCCGGCGCCGCGGCCTAGCGCCGCTGCCCGCCTCACCTGTGCGGCCGCGGCGCCTCTCCCGCCGCCGGTCGCTCTCGTAGAAGCCCAGCGTCTCCGTGTGCTGAGGCGCCGGTGGGGGCCCCTGGCCGCCGCTGCCGCCCGGCTGCTCCGCTTCGCCGCGGCCGTCCCGCTCCTGGCCCTCCGCGCCGCCACCGCCGCCTTCTCCCGGGGCGGCCGCGTCGCCGATGCCCGCCATGTTCCGAGCACAACAAACTGTCCCTGCCGCCTCCCTCCAGCTTCTGGCCCGGCCTCCGCCTCCGGCCGGCCCCCTCCCCGCCTCGCCCCGCCCCTCGCCGGAGCCCGGGCCGCCGCCGCTGCCGCCATCCGCTGCCCGCCGACCGGCGCGCGCCATTGGCGTCAGCGGCGCGTGCGAGACCGCCGGCGTCGCGGCCGCCGCCATCTTCTTCCTGCACTCGCCGTGGCGGGCGGCGGCTTCTCGCCCGGTGGCGGGCTCGGCCGGCCGGGGCGCCGCGCCTGGCTCCATGCCGCCGGGCCGCGCGGCAGGGGAGAGCGGGCGTCTCCGGGGCTCGGGTCGTTGGCCCGGCGGGAGCCGGCCGGGGTCTGCTGCGGCGGCGGCGGCGGGCGGCGGGTCGGCTGCAGAGCCCCCGGGCGGCGGCCGCAGCGCTCGCAGCCCGCTGTCTGCGAGGTGTCCCGCAGCCCGCCCGGGGCCCCTTTTGCAGGCTCTGTGGCCGGAGTGCGCCGGCGCCGCCCGCCCGGCCCTGTCACCGCTGGCGCGGCCGCGGGGGCGGGGGCCTGGCTCCGGGTCCCCGACCCGTGCGAGTGTCCGCCCCGTGTGTCCGCTATTTTGGCTCCGTCTCTTCTGCATATTTATGATCGTCCGTCCCATTCCCTGGCCTCTGGGTGTCCGTTGGCAGTTTCCAAATCACTGGGGCGTGCAGCAGCTTGGGGGAGCCTCGCAACAGGTGGGGGCGCGGGGGGCGGCGGCCGGCCCGGGGACTCGGCTGGACGCGCAGAGTGCGTTCTGCGTTCGGCGCGCCCGGGGACATGCTAGATAGGCTGCCTTTTGGATGTGGGTCAGGAGACGGCCCTTGTCCGCCACTGTGTTCTTGCTCCGTCATTTTACTTATGCAGAATCTGTCCCTTCCAGCTTGGCGCGTGGCCCTGCACTGAGCGCCGCGGCAGGACCCCCGGCGCGGGGCCGTGGAGGCGAAGATGCCCCGGGTTCGGGGAAGGCGCAGGCGCCGCGGCCGCCGCTTCCCACTTGAGTGCTGTGTGCTCCCGTGAGGGGCACGGTGGCATCTTGATTTCCCAACCTGGGTAGTCACCTGTGCCTTTTTGCCCTTTTTTGATTTGCAAAAGCAAAACCGATTCCTCCACGAACACTCCTAGGCTGCCTAGAAACTTCCCTAGACCCAAACTTGAGAACCACACATAAACGTGCCTGAATAGAGCAAAATCGGGCTCGTGTTGATTTATGAGAAAGGCCCTGAGGATTCTGTTGTCACGAACGGCTTACCTGATGGCAAACGCTCAGCGAGTTCTAAAATGAGAGGGCTGCTTTGGGCAGCACAACCGCCTGGCGGTCTGGCAGGCAGCAGGGCTGGAGGCAGAGGTGAGGGACAGAGATGGACTAAAACAGCAGCTGGGAGCCCACCGTGGCCCAGCCTGGTGGAAAGGAACCTCCTTATCCTTCTCCTGTATGAAACAGGACAGCTCAGAAGATTACATTTCTAAATTATTCCCACGACCATCCTCCATGAAATTCTGTTTGGTTGTGTTTGGTCAAAACTGAGCCTTCCTGAACCAATAGAGAACAAATGCTCTGTGCAAATCTTCAAAATCATTTTGAAAATCAAAAGGTATGCAAAATGTTATGGCCTCCAAGGTTCCTTTCAGCTCAAACCCTATTCTCTGATCTTTCATAGTGAAACATCAGCCCCATTCCATTAAGTACTGATTGTCAAGAATGAAGTAGGCTTTTGTTGCTGTGTTTATGTCAGTTACCATTTACTGTCTCACCACATTTATTGGGTTATTGCACCTGCCTTTCACTCAACAGGAGCTGGAAGGGAAGGAGTCCCAAATTCTGTTTCCTACAGTGGTAGGAATGAGTTTCCTTCATTTTCTGTATCAGGCCTGGGGAAAGACATTGTGTTCCAAAGCCTGTGCCTGTCCTTTGAAATAGCAAGGAGAGGAAGAGAGCAGCAGTTGTCTAGGCTGGGTACTGAAGGTGTTAAGAGCCAGCAAAAGGAGCAAACTGGAAATGGGGGAAAGTTGAGGGATTTGCAACTTCTCATCTTTTGGGTCTTTTCACTGGAGCTGCATTGTTTTATCTGACTGTTGTGAAATTGCACAATTTCAAACCCATATTGAAGTCAACATACTAACAAGCATTTTTAAAACAAACATTGATATTTTTCAATTAACACTATTTTCCCCTGTAAAGGAAAGTGATGAATATTGGATGTGAGTTCAGAAATGAGAAGTTGAATCTTGCAGTTGTTGCACCCACTATGTGACTACTGTTGCAAAACACAAAAATATCATTTTTAAAAGAATGGAAATTTGGTGAGTAGTATACACAACATTAAAAACTAAATTACAGAATTTCATATTTCAGTAATTAAAGATTTAACAATTGAGACCTGCGACTAAACAAAGTACATTGAATGCATTGTGCATAAACCATGGATTCAAAGCTCCAGGATATCTTTGTAATGAAGCCTATAAACTCTTATTGCTTAATGTCCGAGCCAAATCATTATGGTCTACCATTTCATGAAATAACAAGAGTTTTAAAATAAGTGATGTTTTTCAGTTTGTATATCTGCATTCTTTTTTACTAGGAATAACACAATGTAGTACAAAAAATGTTGGGCCTATAGTTATAACTTGGAAAAGACACTGTCTTGGATGTGTATTTACCGTGTGGCCCTGGAAAGATAACCGCTTGGGCCCTTGGTCGTTGGGGGTAATACCCATTCTATAATGGGAGCTGAAAAACATACAATTTTATTTTTTTCTTTCTCCTTAGCAGTAACTTTGAATACTTCCTTTCATTTAGACTACATAGTTTTCATTTTCCAACTACAAAGCGATTTATCTTTTGATGGCACTTCTAGTATATAGCCCCTAATAAATGTGTGAAATTAGTTTCATACACTTTTCCAGAGTAACAAAAACATCAAAGTGCTTTGTTAACTTGAAAGAACTCTGAATCATGAAAAGGCCAGGACTCTATCGCCCTCCAACTAACGTCTTTGCCCAAAACAGCACAGGTGACCCCTCCCTCTACTTCATTTTGTCACCTGTAGAGTATTGGACTAAATGGTTCTGATTACCTCTTCTAGGTCCCAAATATTGTGTTAAAATCCATGCAAACCCTTTTTTAGATTCCTGGAACCCTGGGTTAAAAATAGTAGATAGACTTGTACTATCAAGATCTGTAGAAAAGTATGAAATCCTTAAGAGAGTCACTTTGTAATTGGGTCTAAATTTTGAATGCAGGGAATTCAAATGCAGTAACTGTTGATACCACATCAAAGGCATGTAGGTTTTTATGCACCTTCTTTATGCTCTATGCTTACTCCTTCATCCTTTGGCATGAGGAGTGATGAGCTCTCCCTGACCTTCCAGAACTCTAAGGCTGTTGTTCTCACCCCAGGCCTCAGGGTTTCTGTATTTTGAACAAGTTTCCTGTATTGTACTTCATGCATACCCTAAATGTGAGAACACTGCTCTCAGGTGGCCTTAAGCAACACCTGAAGTGGTATTTGAGACAATTACTTAGTAATCATTGTATAGTTAATTTTGTAGTATAGATTCAGACAGGATAGAACAGTTTGAATTGCATCTGTATTTCTCAGTTGAAAATTTACTTGAATATTACATGACTCCTATTCTCCGAACCATAAATGCCACGTGTCTGTATTCACAAACTGTACTCCTGAATTTAATTTATTTATCATTTTGTCTTCAAAGAGAAAAATAAGAGTTGATGTTTTTAAAAATCTGAACAACTGATGTTCTAAAGAAATAAAATATACAGCTGGCCCCAGAGCAAGCCTTTGCACTAAATTTATGTGAGTTTATTGAATCTCCGGGTTCCAGTAATAATATTTTCTATCTTTGGCAATCATTTTTGGACTGATACTCATTATGTTTTATCTGCTCTGGGCTTTATTCCATGGATTTTTAAAGGACACTAGCTCAGTTTGTTTCTGGGAGATGTAACACAAAGTAGATAATAGCCTTTAATTCTAATATACCTATTACAACTTAAACAGTCATGAGTTTTTTTTTGAGACAGAGTCTCGCTTTGTTGCCCAGGCTAGAGTGAGTGCCGTGGCGTCAGCCTGGCTCACAGCAACCTCAAACTCCTGGCTCAAGCAATCCTCCTGCCTCAGCCTCCCAAGTAGCTGGGACTACAGGCATTCGCCACCATGCCCGGCTAATTTTTTGTATATATATTAGTTGGCCAATTAATTTCTTTCTATTTATAGTAGAGACGGGGTCTCGCTCTTGCTCAGGCTGGTTTCGAACTCCTGACCTCGAGCAATCCGCCCGCCTCAGCCTCCCAGAGAGCTAGGATTACAGGCGTGAGCCACCACGCCCGGCTAAAAATCTTATTTCTAAAAACAGTTTTTTGGCCTGAGAATATATAACTGAAACCACTGTAAATAGGACTTTTTGAAAATTATACTTTGTTAAAAGGGATGGCTTTTAGAACATTTCTGTTCTGAAGACCTAAACATACGTTCTGTTTTTGTAATAAAAATGTATGAACTTACAAAAACATATGCTTTATTAGCTAATAGAATCTTTTATTCATGATGAGATATAAGATTTATTTTCTATTGGATCTGAAATCTCTGGAAAATTCCAAAATGCTGATGAAAGGGACCCTGATAATGACTCAGTAGGCTTTCCATTCCAGGTTTCTCTCTTTGAGGAGAAAGAACATTATTCATTTCTCATTATCATGATAAAAAAAAATAGATATGTCATGTTTGAAACTGTTTTAGTCATTCAGTTGGTTAATTAACAAGAAACTATTTGTAGAATAAACTCAGACTTTCCAGTAAATTTCTTGATAACTGTCAAAAATCCTTTATAATTCCAGCTAGCAAAGATTTAATTTTATAATTCAGAATGCAGAGGAGATTTTATTTACCACCTAATTTATGTTGTTAGTTCTTTTGGATTTTGCCTTTCAGAATTATTATATTATCCTGTTTTTATTACTCCCCAATGGTGAATTATTTATTGCTTCTTTTGGCTACACATCAAATAGTAGGTGGTAATTGGAAGATTGTATTTGATATGTAGGGTAAATTTTTACTTTTTTCTAGTGTTTCTAGTTGAACTCTCATGGATTAAAATATCTGAGTAATTTTTCTCTTTACATCCATGGCCTTTAAATTTAGGCTATCATCATCTTGTAATTAGCTATCATTCTGCTCATTAATCAGTGTTTCCATTTCTTTCTCCTTCTTGTTTCTGAGATACTGAAAAGTGCATACAGTCTCTGGGTCTTACAAAGATCTATTACTTAAGTGTACTCTTCTTATGCAAACCCAAGTATTTATCTTTCTTTTGTCTTGATTACCAAAATTTATTGCAAATGCATAATAAAACTTCAGATTCTCAAAGTAATCTCAGTGTTTTAGAAGTTTATCTGATTTAAAGGCCTTAGATTTTCAAATTGCTCCTTTATATTTATCTATTATATTCTCTCTTTCTATTCAATTATAAGTTTATGTTTATATGTAAAATGCTTCTGTTGTTTCTGACATTTTCCAATTTAGTATCAATTTCAAATAGTGAACAACTTTTCCCTGCTTGTCTTCTATACAGATGCTTAATAAATACTATAACTTAGGCATACTGTTTCATGGAACAGAACAGTACTGTGGTTGATTTTTTTAAAACAGCAATAAAAAAGAAAACATATTGTGGCTTTAGTAAGCATTATTTTCTTGTGACAGTTTTATCCTCCTAATTATGCTTTGCCTAAGCTGATTATAACATTAATTCACATTCCCTTGAGCATATGCCCACTGATGACAGATATATGCTGGGGTTAAAAATTTGGCATGTATAATTCACACATAAATATTTGATTGCTTAAAAAACTGAGGCTAAATCAGATGCTGGTCATTATTTATCATCTCTTAACTTACACTCTGACCTTTCATTTATATATTTATGCAGTAACACCAGTTGTATAAATAAAAATTCATTCCTAGTGCTGCAAACCATTTTTAAATATTCAGTTTTAATATTTATTACAGTGCTAGTATTTATGATCTGACATGGTTGGCTAGATGTCCTTTTTCTGAACAATATTAAGTTTCATGCAATGTGATTCTGTTTGTACAAGTTTGATACACACTTACATAGTTTTTACTTGATCTTAATGTAGCAACAAAATGAGTCTCATATTAAGTAATTAAAGGTACAAAAATAGTTGATTGTTTTGACTTTGAGCAACTTAATGTCTACACCAAATCTGTCATTTGTCTCCCTCTAGCATTTTAATAATGCTCTGTAGAGAATGCCTAATTGGTATGATTAGGCTTCTTTATTGGTGTTTTATGAACAGTGTAACTGGCTTCTCCCTTGAAAGCAAAATAATTTTCTTTGCATTAGGAGTATTTTTTTTTAAAAGAATAATTTATCAGCAAGAGTTTTTCTTCTGAGTATGTGTTTTTTTAAACTAAATTTTTTAGAAAGGCCGTATTCGTTAATCCTTCAGGGACATATATAGACACACAGGTGGATTCACCCATGCAAGCGTTTGTTTTTGACTAATGAATAGTTTTCTCAAAACAATCTGTTCCTTTGCTTCTGTGCCAAAATGGGTAAAATATTTGTTTGGGACTAGACCATAAAATGTCATCTCCCATGATGGCACTAAGCTAGAAAAGGTCATCAGATAGAGAGATAGCAGAGTATAATGGAGAATGCTGTAAACTGGGGGTCAGGAGGCCTGGCATAGGGAGCCTGCTCCTTAGTGGTTGTGAAACCTGGGTGCACCCTGGGCCACAGTTTGATTCATGTAGCAGAGGGTGAGCTAGGTTGTCTTGAAGTTTCCTTTCAGCTATAGAATTATGTCATTCTTAGGTACTTCTTGGATTATTTTCGGCCAGCATTAAATGTTGACTTGGCATTCACTTGTAATGTTTTTCTTCTGGTGAACTCAAGTACCTTACTCTAAATTATAATGCTTATCTTAAAATTGCTTACCTTCAGTCAACAGACCTTCGTATTTCTTACTCAGCAAATATTTGTTGACTGGCTTTTATGTTCCAGCTACTGGTCCAAAGCCCTAGAGTAACAGAGATAAATGAGATGTGTTTTCTATACAGAGTAGTTACATTGCAATGTGACAAGTGCCACAATAGAGGAATGAATGAGGTGACATGGTAGTTTAAAGGAGAGGTTGATTAATTCTTCTTTTTTTAAATTTTTTTATTTCAGCTTATTATGGGGGTACAAATGTTAAGGTTACGTATATTGCCCTCCCCCCCTCCCCCCGAGTCAGAGCTTTATGCATGTCTATCCTCCAGAGGTTGATTAATTCTGCTTTAAAGTGAGCCAGGACAGCTTAGAAGGAAGTGGCATTTGAGTGGGTCTTGAAAGATGTTTGCCAGATGGAAAATGGGGTTGAGAGAAGGCGACTGAAGGACCTTATAGGCAGACATTGGAGCATGGGCAGAAGAAGAGAGGTAGGAACATGCACGGTGTTTGAGTAGAACTTCAAGATGGAGTTTATGTTTCCTGGGCTGAAAAATAGGAAACAAATGGTGGGTATGGCAGGGCATGGATTAGACAGAAGAGTTGGCAAGCATGGTCCAGAAGTGAAATGAGGAATTAGGGAATTCGTAGGTTGCCAGCACTACTTCTGGGCTGTCTTCACAAGTTGAAGAATAATTCATAGTTTTGGTTTTTTTTTGAGTTGGTATATATTGGGATTTGCTTGCACTTCTACCCAACATTGTTTCATAAAACAATTAGAATATTAGTCTGTGTTTACCGAGCATTTACTATATATTAAGTCTTATTCTCAGTGTCCAAATCCAATATCTAGTTAAGAAATTTTACTTTTTTCCCTGAAAAATGATCTCAGCATAACATTTTATAGAACAAATGTTTATTTGGTAGTAAGACAATGAAGCATGCACTAAGGATTAAATTTCTTTTTGACAGGGACTCACAGACACATATTAATGATAGGCAATGCATTCTTGACATATAGAGTATCACATTTAGCCTCAAAATCTCAAATCAAACCACTTTAGTCTAATGAAAGGATATAATGGAATGATGATGGCTTGGAAGCTGTTTTTTGTAAACTTGAAGTTCTAGATTATTTTGAGTAATTAGAAATATCAGGAAAAATACACTACTTAAAATTAAATTTTATGTCTGGGTCTCAGCCTTCTTTCCCACCAGTTATGGGGTAGGGTAAGGTAGGGCTAGTGGGTTACTCGGTCTGTTGACTCTCAATGCCATATTTGTAGGAGCTATGTCCTCATATCTATGTTTTGGTTGCATCTAGTTAGAAGGTACAGCATGATGGAATAGAAATAACATACACTTTATAGTTAAAGTGATAAAGTTTAAATCTAAAGTGTTGCTTACTTGCTATGGGGACTGTGGCAGATTACCTATATATCAACTTGGAATCAGACTCTCTGTTTTGAGCCATTTAATTTAGACACTTATTTTAATGCAAGTGCTTTTGCTTTTACTTTGGCAGTCAGCATGCAATTTTAATTAGCACTTGGAACACAGCAAAATACATTGATGAGGCAAAAGACATAAAGAAAAACATTAATAATGGCCTGCCTGAGAACTCTGGCAGCATCCAAGAGAGACACTTTCAGTATAATGCTTGATGTTTCTGAGAAATCATGCTCACTAGCATTTATAGTCTTGTACATTTAATCATCTCAGAGTTTTGAAATGTCAAAATATTGGCATTAGCAACTTTGTCATCTATACACTCGGAGAGGATATTAATTTCTTAAGCTTATTCTGACGCAGCAACTGATGCACAAGAAAACGAAACTTATTTTCTCCATCTGCCCAGGATTCTCTTCTTAGCTTTGCCAATAAGATCTTTCTCATCTTTTAAACTCTATCTCTAATATCACCCTCATAGTCTTAACCTCCCTCATTCCCATGGCCATTCTCTTTTCTGTATACTCCTGTGGTCCATGCATCTGTCACTGCAGGCCACACCGTTTTAAAATGATTTTTTGATGCGTTACTTTCCT